CACTGGAGTCTGCAAACCCCATTGGCTGCACTGGAGCTTCTGAGTTCTGGATGCCACAAAACTGCTCTCGCTTTTAAAATCTCTTGTTGTTGCTGAAGGAGGAGAATTTTCTTTCCGGACAGAGACAGAGATCATAGAAAATCCATAATGAAGTGATATGGTGATTCCAAGCATTTCATTAGGATGTGGCATAGAAAAAAATAAATGTGGATCAAAGTGGGGTTTGGGCAAGGAATATGATTTCCTGGGTAAACAGAAGTTGCAATTCAGATAGGGGAGCTGCAATCACACATGCATAGTGAGTGTTAAGGCTGACAGGGGACCCTCATCACCAGGAACTGTGCCTTTCCAGTAAGTTCTACATGTTAAATTGCCAACTAGAGTGAATAAGTCAATGGATCATTCCATGTAAAACAAACTGTGTTGGGGGACAGGTGAGAAGCAATCCAGTGAGAGGAATAGCTGGGTAGTTGAGAGATGTCTAAACTACAGTGCCTAACTGCAGGGAGCTTGGAGTCCCCAGGGAAAGTTGATTTAGCTCTGCCATTCAAACTATCTTTAACCTGGTCTAAAATCATGTGAGAGTTAGGTTTATTTATTTTATTTTGCTTTCCTTTTCTTGAAATTGACTTGATTTCCACTTCATTTAGAAATTCTGCAACTACATTATTCCCTGTTTTTAATTTGTGTTTTGTTATTGTTGTTGCAAACTGGTATCTCTGGTCCTTGTTTTCAGTCTTACAGGTTTGTTTTGCTTTCAATACTTGTATATCTGGGTTGAGTTTTGGATGATATTGTTTAAGTACTTATAGTCTCAGGCTGTTGTCTACTGTTGGTTCTCTGTTCAAAGAACTCCCTTTAGTATTTTTCGTAAGGTTGGTCCGGTGTTTGCAAATTGTTTTCATTCCTGTTTATCTGGAAATGTTCTTATTTGGTCATAATATTTCAGGGACAATTTTCATAGGTATGTGATCCTTGGTGGAGTCCTGGTGCGGCACTGTGGGTTAACACTCTGGATTGCAAAATCAGTTTGAACTGCAAAGTAAGTAGTTTAAGTTAACTAGCCACTGCTTGGAAACCCTATATAAGGCCACTATGGGTCAGAACTGACTTGATGACAGTTAATAACAACAATGTTGTTATTAAATTTTTGTCTTTCAGATTTTTATATATGTCATCCCATTGTCTTCTTGCTTCCATGGTTTTTGCTGAGAAATCAGAGTTTAGTCTTATTAATTTTCCTTTGTAGGTAACTTCATCTTTTCCAAGTTACCCTCAGGATTCTTTCCTTGTTTTTGGTTTTGAAAAGTTTGAATGTAATATATTTTGGTAATTTTCTTTTGGAGTCTATCCTGTTTGAAATTAATTTAATTTCTTGAATGGCTGTCTTCTATCTTTCATGATGTTAGGGAAGTTTCCTTCCAACAACTCTTGGAAATTTTTCTCTATTTTTGTTGTTGTTGCTGTTGTGTCTTACTGACCACACATAATTTATTCCTCTTGCTGTTGTCCCACACAAATCTTAGGCCTTCTTTGGATTTTTTTATTGTTATTTCTAATTGTTCATCTCAAAGTTGAGTATTGAGAGATTTGGTTTCAAGCACACTAATTCAGTCTTCTGTCAATTTAATTCTACTTATGTGCCCTTTCAGTGTACTATCTATTTCTGAAATCATATTAAATTTCTGGCTTTCTAATTGCTCTTTTTGTAGTTTCCAAGTTCTCACTTATTTTGTCAGATTGTTCTTGTAGTGTTTCCATAATTTCTTCTTGTTCTCCCTGCTTTTATTGATGTTTTTCTAAATCCATTGAAGGTAGTTAAACAGCATTCTTTTAAATTTCTTATCGAGTATGTCTGATGTCGTTTCTGGCATTTAGTTTCTTACTCTGCAATTGGGTTGCTTGTTTGAGGCACTCTGTCTTGTTTCTGCATGTAAGCTGAAATTGTTTTCTCTGAGACTTTGTAGTGATGATTGTGTGTTGTTGTGCTCTCAGGTGCTCACACCTGTATTCTGGGGTGTGTGGTAGAGACTGGAAGTATAAACACAGTTCTCTGTTCTCTGCTGTTTGTATAGCATAGTTCATGGCCGGTTCACATACCTCCAGAATCAGAGGGAGCACTTCCAGTGCCCAACCCCAGACAGAGTCAAGGCTTCATAGGAGGGGATGCCATTGGCCAGAGGATTGGTGATGGTGGGACTGGCCATGCCCTTGACTACCAGGAGGGCATTGGGAAAAAGGGAGAATTGCACACCCTTGCCTCAACTGCCAGCCCCATCCTGTGTCTGCGAGCTACTGTATTGGCAGCCACTTGCAAAAGCTCAAAATGGCCACAGCACTCCATGCCAGTTTACAGCCTGCCTGTTATTCTTCCCTCTACTGCTCCTGTTCCATTCCTTCCAGGCAGCACTCATTCCATCTCTCTGTCCTAGTCTCTGATGCTTAGAGTTCCAGGATCACTACCTGTGTCTGTTTCACTAGTCTCCCATCTCCTGTGTCTTTGTTGGAGAGGGCCTGCTTAGTGAATCTGGCTATGCCTTCATCTTGCCCTGGATTTCTGTATCCACAAGTGTCCTGGAACCAATCCCCAGCATATATCCAGGGAAAACTGTACTGATTTTAGATGACAAAAATGTCTGTATGGGAGTGCTGATGGTGCTGTAGGATAAGCACTGGACTGCTTACCACAAGGTCAGCAGTTCTAACCGACCAGTTACTCCAAGGGAGAGAGGGAAGACTTTCTGCTCCTGTAAAGATTTACAGCCTCAGAAACCCTATACAGAGACACTATGAGTCAGAACTGACTCTGCAGCACCTAATAACAGCAACAATCTATGTCTGTATATTTGAGCCCATGCATTAGAGTTATTAAGAAGCTTGGTGGCACTGTGGGTTATACATTGGACTATTAACTTCAGGGTAAGTAGTTCAAACCCACCAGCTGCTCCTTGGTAGAAAGATGAGGCTGTGCGCACCCATAAAGATTGACAGTCTTGAAAACCCTATATAAAGTAAGTATGAGTCAGAATGAGCTTAATGGCAGTGGATTTGATTTTTGTTTGGGTTTTGAGAGCTATGGAAACATTAATAAACATATTTATCTTAAATTCCCCCACCCTGCATCATAAAGATCTGAGTTGGGTTAAAAGGAAAAATGAAATCAGTGACATCATAAAAGAAGAATGGCATATTGGGATGCGTGAAAGGAGGATAAGATGTTAACAAGACAGGTTAGAATTTCTCTTTAATTTATTTTACATTTCTCTGCAAAACTCTCAAATCTTATAAATAACTCTTACATTGTTATTGTTGTTAAGTGCCATCGAATTGACTCTGACTCATAGTAACCCTCCAATCCTGATGCCACGTTTTTCTTCATAGAACCCAGCTTCTCGGATGTTTTGCTCAGCATACAGGTAGAATAAGTATGGTGAAAGAATACAACCTTGTCTCACACCTTTCTTAATTTTAAACCGTTCAGTGTTCCCATGCCCTGTTCGAACAACTGCCTCTTGGTCCAGGTCCAGGTTCCTCATGAGCACAATTAAGTGTTCCAGAATACTCATACTTTGCAATGTTGTCCATAGCTTGTCATGATCCACACAATCGAAAGCCTTTGCAAAGTCAATAAAGCACAGGTAAACATCTTTCTGATATTCTCTGTGTTCAGCCAAGAATCATCAGACATCAGCAATGATATCCCTCATTCCACAGCCTCTTCTGACTCTGGCTTGAACTTCTGGAAATTCTCTGTGAATGTATGATTGTAGCTGTTTCTGTATGACCTTTAGCAAAACTTTACTTGCATGGGATATCAAAGAGATTGTCCGATGATTTCCACATTCCGTTGGGTCACGTCTCTTTGGAATGGGCACAAATACGGATCTCTTCCAATCAGTTGGCCAGATAGTTGTCTTCTAAATTTCTTGGCATAGATGAGTGAGTACCTCCTGTGCCTCATCACTTTCTTGAAAGATTTCAATTTTTATTCCATCAATTCCTGGTGCCTTATCTTTGCCAATTCCTTCAATGCACCTTGGAATCCCTCCTTCAGTATCATTGGCTCTTGATCATATGCTATCTCTTGAAATGGTTGAACATGAACCATTTCCTTTTGGTACAGTGACTCTGTGTATTCCTTCCATCTTCTCTTGATGCTTTCTGCATCATTCAATAGTTTGCCCAGAGAATCTTTCAATAACGAAAGTTAGGCTTGAATTTTTTCTTCAGTTCCCCCAGCTTGAGAAATGCTGTGTTCTTCCTTTTTGGTTTTCTGATTCCAGATCTTTGCACATTTTATTGTAATATTTGGCTTTATCTTCTCGAGCAGGGTTACTATGAGTCTGAAAACACTAGATGGCACTTAACAACAACAACAATGACAACACCAACCACAAATCAACTGTGATGTCGTTTTCTAGTGATTAGTAGAGATACTGAATTTATGTTATTGTTTATCCATTCCCAAACTCACAATAATGAATTTTGAATCTTTTTTACTAATTTACTGAAATATATGACAACATCAATATTTGAGAGAGACCCTTTAAGGCAAATTCTGATTCTCAAGGAAAATGCCTTTCCATTTTAGAAACAAACATAAAGTGTCCTGTCTGAGTAGTTAAGATTATGGAGTTGGGCTTTTGCACACTGGGGCCCTAGGCCCAAGCTTTCTCCTCTGATAGAGTTATGGACAGTCCCTCCTAAGCCAGGTTGTGAGGAGTCCATGAGACAATGCCTGCAATGCTTATTGGGTAACACTGGCTACCCAGTGAGTGCTCAGAAATGTTAGCTATCATAGATGCATGCATAAAATATTTAAAGTAATATGAAAATAATGATAAAGGCCAAAATTGCAATCACAGGTATTCAGTTCTTTCCTTTACAATTTCAGATTCATCTTTAAAAAATACAGAAACATAGTAATATGTCCTACAAACATTTAGATACTGATTCCCTGGTGGTGTTCCAAAGCTTATGAACCTTTCTCTTGGATTTAGGGAAGTGCTAGTGAAGCAACCTTGGTGGCCCTCCTGGCTGCTCGGACCAGAGTGACTAGACAGCTACAGATAACATCACCGGAACTTTCACAAGCTGCCATCATGGAAAAGCTGGTGGCTTACTCATCTGATCAGGTTTGTATTGAGAGTGTGTGATGATCCATCCAAACCTTCCAGGTTTGAATGTTGGACTTTAAAACAAATCAAATAAAAATCAAACCCTGCAGCATCATTTCAAATTCAAAAGAGGCCACTGAGATAGAGTCCTGTTATAGAGATAATGAATGGGTCCTTGGATAGGAAGTAGGTCAAGTTGAAAAGAAAATTTATGTGCTAAAAGACCACCATGAGTGGCTCTGTTGCCGTTTCTCCCAACAAGGCTGTAATGATTTGGTCTGCCTTCAGAAGGACATTGTGAAAAATTAGACATAGAGCTTGAAGACATGAGCTCAAATCCCAGCTCTACCATTGTAAGTTTTGAAGTCTCAAGAAAATCACAAATTCCCCAAGCCCCCATTTATTTGCCCCTAAACAAGGATATAAGCACCCACTTCTTTCACTTCTGATCAGTTCCACTAATGGCGATATGGAATTTAAAGGATATAAAGTGCTTTGTAGAGTTTAAAGATTCAGCAAATGTGAGCACTTAGTATGATTCAATCCAGCAGGAAAGAAAGAAAGAAAGAAAGAAAGAAAGAAAAAGAAAGAAAGAAAGAAAGAAAGAAAGAAAGGAAGGAAGGAAGGAAGGAAGGAAGGAAGGAAGGAAGGAAGGAAGGAAGGAAGGAAGGAAGAGATTGTGTGAGAGGATTTAGCAGTATGAGAACAACTCCAGTCTATCATTGAAAGGATACAATAAAGGGACCACTTGACCCACCTTTACAGAGTTGAGTTCCACAAGGAATAGCTGGTTTCAATTTGCTGATATATTTATCTTTAATAAAATTCTTAAGCTAGACATTTTAAGCATGATATTTTTCTCTAGTTGATAAGGATTTAGTCTGAAATCAACACACACTCTTTTCTAGAGGCTTATAGGTGCCCTTGAGTTGATTTGAACTCACAGTAACCTTGTATTGTGTTTCCGAGAATATAAATTATCATAGGAGCAGAAAGCCTCAGCTTTCTTCCAAAGAGCTTCTGGTGGGTTTGAACTGTTGATTTTGTGTTGAGGAGCCTAGTGTTTATCCTGAATAGGCACTAGCCTACTAAGGAGATTACACATCTGTATATTCTGATTCCATTTATTAGTACTAACTGCACATGAAGAAAAGTATTCATTTATATTCATATCTCCCTTGTTTCTTAGAAGGACATGAGGTGGTGTTTTAAAAATGTACACACAGTCGCTCAATAAATACAAGAAGCTTTTGTGAGAAAGAGAAGGCAGTCTTCTCTTTCTGTGAGAGAATTTATTCCTGGAGAAAATTATTTTTGTCAACTGTTTCATCAATTCTGCACAGGATGGTATCCAGCTAGTACCATTCTAGAAGCAGAGCAGTTACATGACTTCATTATAGAGAGTGGATGGATCTGGGCTGTTTTTCTCTGGGGCCCCACTTGAGAATGGTTCTTAGGGAGATGAGAAACTATGGAGTCATTCTTTTAGGGATATATACTTTATTTGACTTTGAGCAGGTTAGGGTTCCTAGAAGCTGAACTAAAGCAGAAACTTAGATATTTACCATTGATTAACAGTTGCTCTCTGGAGAAACCTGAGAGACAGTAGGGAAGCAGGTGAGGCAGGGATGGAGGCCCATAAGGGGTTCTTGAAGATTCTACACTTAGCCTGCCCCCGGAAGGTGCTCTGGAATGTGAAATGTACACTAGGATAATTCTGTCCTTTCAACACGGTACCCTTCTCTCACATGTCAGTGGCTGTCATCCCTGTAGTGATGGCACAAGGTGACAGTCAGCAATTTCCCAGAAGGGTAAAGGGAGAGCCATTAGCAGGTGGGCACACAAACCATACAGGGTTTGGTGGTGGGGAGGGTCTCAGAAGGACACTAAAAGCAGACAACTGAACATGAAGAGAACCATTCATTATTTTCTGAACAATCTAAAAGTCCAAGACAGTCCCTCTGAGACTTCTGACTCATGATCATCTCATCTCAAGTTAAGTCTTCATGTCCAGGCAAGCATTTCATCCCAGGGAGCATGGTGACTGTAAGATAAGCATTGGACTGTGAGCCACAAGATTGGTGGCTCGAGCCCACCAGTCGCTCTGCTGGAGAAAGATGAGACTTTCCTCTCCCACAAAGATTTACAGCCTTGGAAACCCATAACAGGGTTGCTATGGGTCGGAACTGACTTGATGGCACTTAACAAGCTGGTCACTGAATTGATGAATTGATCACCACACTGTTTGAAGTTTAAGGGAAGGCATAAAAGAATCAGTTACTGGAGTTGTCGTAGTTTCGTAGGTGATTTGGACCCCCAGATGAAGAGAGTGATCATAGTGGCTCATAATCACATGCTTTTACTCCAACTGCTGTGCCTGGCGCTTAGTCATTTTCATAATTCTCTTCTGAGGTATTTCTTCTTGTCTCACTTTGCACATGGGGAGATGGAAATGAACTGAAGTGAATAAGCTGCCAAGGTTGCCATTGAAAGAGCAACACCAGTTAGTTAGCAAAGGTACCAAAGACTCAGAAGCCTGGTGTCTTCCTGCTGATCCAACTCTGCCTCCAGAGATTGAGTAGAGGAAGCCCCAAAGACAGATGCAGGCAGGATTTTGAGTCCGGTTTTCTTACTCTTCCGCCAAGGTGTACTTCCAAGGCTTACCACATGCTCCTATGTCCAAACAAACCTCATCAGTATTGACCCAGCACTTTGCCCTTACAAGTGTCTGATTTATTAAACTTAAAAGCAAGATTTGACATGAGTTGAAAGAACTCCAAGAATAAAGGAATCTTTCTGAAGGTGTTAGCAGAGAACTAAAATAGCATCTTTCCAGCCACCACTGCCATGTGAAAAGGGACCAGGTGTTTGCACTGGAGCTCGGTGTAAAGCTGTGAGCTTCCAAGGACTGTGTGCAATGGGGGGAGTCCTATCCACACAAACCTAACTCTTTTGCTGTCTTTCTAGGCACACTCCTCAGTGGAAAGAGCTGGACTGATTGGTGGAGTGAAGTTAAAAGCCATCCCCTCTGATGGCAATTTTGCCATGCGGGCTTGTGCCCTGAAGGAGGCCTTGGAGAGAGACAAGGCCTCTGGCCTGATTCCCTTCTTTGTAAGTAACCCAGAGCTTATTGTATGTGGTCCAGTAGAATCTCCCAGCCCTTTCATGCTGGGGGGAGGCAGGGTCCAGGGTCACAGACAGTTCTCATCTCTGCTGGTGCCACTCTGCTACTCCTTGAACACGATTAGAAGAAGACTCCATTTGTATTTTTGCTGAGTATGCTTTGATTTCAGAAGTCACCAGAAAACTCAGCCCAGAGTATTTGGTTAAGACAAGAAGCCTGGTGTCTATTCTTTGTCAAGTTAAAAGTGATACCAAATAATGATTCTTTGACAGTCCTTTTTGGCATGGTAGATTCTCTATATAATGCTGAGTGCACTGACTCTGATGTATAACTAGAGTTAAGGAATATTGCTCAGATGAACACTTTTTATTGTTTAGGAATTTCTTAATTTTTAAAGCAATCTATTTTTGAGTGTCTTTTTATGAGTCACAGAATAATCACATCCATTGCTGTTTATTTAATAACATCCACTAATAGTATCCACTGCTTTTTGTCTGGAGTCTTAATGTTGTACTGTAAGATAATCACTGGGCTGTTCACTGCAAGGTCAGTAGTTCAAACCCACCAGCCACTCTTGGAAACCCTATACAGGGTCACTGTGAGTCAGAACCGATCTGATGCACACAGCAACATGAGTCGGAACCTACTCGATGGCATCTAACAACAGCATTTTGTTTAAGAATTAATCCTTAAGAGTTGTTTTTTTTTTCCAGTAAAGACTTGTTTTGGTCAATTCATCTGAGTATTGTTGTTGTTTTTGTTTAGTTAGTATGTTTAGTTAGTTTAGTTAGTGTGCTCTGTACACATCTATGAGGTCAAGTTGTTTGACTGTGTTGTTTACTCCTTCTGTGTCTTCATTGAATTTCGTTCTAGTTGTTTTGTCCTTTATTGAAAGTGGTGTATTAAAATCTCCTACAGTTATTGTGGATCCTGGTGTGGCACTGTAGGCTAAGTACTGCACTAGTAACCACAAGGTTGGCAGTTCAAACTCACAAACCATCTGTAACTGCTAACAGCAGGGTTGGCATTTCAAACCCTCCTCTGCTCCCTAGAAACATTATACGGGGTCTCTGTGTGTCAGAACCTACTTGATGGCACTTAACAACAAACATTATATGGAGTTGTCTCTTTCTTAGGTTCCAGTAGAATTTTATTTATGTATTTTGAGTCTCTTTCATTGGAAAAATGGGTATTTCTTATGGCATGTCCTCTTTTTCAATTGAATCTTTAATTATGATATAATGTCTTTCTTTGTCTATTATGCAGGGTTTTGTCTTAAAATCTATTTTATCAGCGATTAATATTACCACTCCTGCTCAATTTTGGTTGCCATTACCTTGATATACATTTTTCCATCTTTTGAATTTTAGTCTATTTTGTCTTCATTTGTAAGATGTCTCTTGTACACAACATATTGAAGGATGCTGTTGTCTTCTTTCTTCTGTTTTTCTCTGTCTTTTGACTGGTACATTTAATTCACTTACATTCAGTGCAATTATTGATAGGTATGGATTAATTGCTATCATTTTGCTGTGTGTATGTGTGTGTGTGTGTGTGTGTGTGTGTGTGTGTGGTGCTGCTGATTTCTTTGTTCCATATAATTTTTTGTACTGTGTTCATTTTGCTTGTGGAATTTCTTTTCATTTTCTTCATTTCTGTTGTGTTAATGTTTACTAAATCTTTCTGATTTTTTAACTTTTTTATTTTGATGTGAAGATGTAGTCATTTTATTTGAGGTTACCTTGTAAGTTATTAATTTCGTCCCTAGTCTAAAATGATCTGTTTTATCTGAAGTTTCCTTGACTTCCTCATCTTTTGAAAGTTTCATGGCTATAGTATTCCCTCGTTTAGCTTTGTAATTGTCTTCATTATAAATTGATGTATCTGGTTCTCTATTTCCAGTCTTGTAGGTTTATATTATTTTAAATACTTCTATATCTGAATTGAATTTTGGGTATTGTGTCATGTTTGTTACTATCAAGTTGTTGTCTGCAGTTGTTAGTTCTCAGTTCAAAGAACACTGTTTAGTATTTTTTGTAAAGTTGATCTGGTAATTATAAATTCCTTTAATTTCTGTTTATTTCCTTATTTTAACATCATACTTGAGGGACGACCTTTTGGGCTGGCAGCTTTTTTCTGTAGGGTTTTGTATATGTTGTTCCCTTTGTCTTATTGCTTATGTGGTTTCTGCTGAGAAACCAGAGCTGAGTCTAATTGGTTCTCCTTTATAGGTATCCTTTTGTTTTTCTGAAGATGCTCTCAGTATTCTTTCCTTGTCTTTGATTTTGACAAGTTTGATTATGATATGTCTTGGTGATTGTCTTTGGACAATCTTTGGACAAAGGACACCAAATACACCAATACTACTTGGTGTTCTTTCAACTTCCTGAGCATGTATCTTCTAATATGAAAGATATTTTTGCTGTGTGTAACAAATCAGAATATCTGTTGTAAATGGTATTATTTCTCTGATCTCCTATATAGAATTCTCTTTGTTTGTGTAGAGGAAGCATATTGATTTTTGTATATTGATCTTGTACCCTGCCTCTTTACTGAACCCATTTACTAATTTCAATAGTATTCACAGATTCTATATGTATAGGGTCATATCATCTGCAAATAAAATCATTTTCTTTCTTTGCCATGTTGGATTCCATTTATTTCCTTTTCTTGCCTAATTTCTCTGGCTAGAATATGCTTTAAATATGAGTGGTGAAAAAGGTAATTGTTGTCTTATCCCAGTTCTCCAGAGGAATGCTTTCAGTTTCTCTCCATTAAAACTGTTGTTGACCATTGATTTTGTATATATGTCCTTAATTATATTGAGAACTTTCCCTTCAATTATTACATCAGTATATAAAATTATTGATAAATGTTTTTATCAGAAACAGAACTCATCAAATGCCTTTTCTATGTTAACTGAGATAATCACATGGTTACTTTCCTTTGTTTTATTATGTGGTGGATTATCTTGATTGCTTTTCTAATATTGAACCACCATTGCATGCCTGGTATAGATCTCATGAGATCTTGATGTGCTATTTTTTTTTTTTTTGATATGTTATTGCATTCTATTGACTAGGATTTTGTTGATGATTTTCACATCCATTTTCATGAAGGATTTGTTGTTAGGCGCCATTGGATGAGTTCCAACTCACAGTGATCTTACGCACAACAGAACAAAACACTGCCTGGTCCTACGCCATCCTCAAAATCATTGTTATACTTTAGTCCATTGCTGCTGCTACTGAGCCAATCCAACTCATTGCGGGCTTCCTCTTTGTCACTGACTCTGCACTTTCCCAAGCTTGATGTTCTTCCCCGGGAACTGATCCTTCTGATGATATGTCCAAAGTATGAGAGGTGAAGTTACACCATCCTGGTTTGTTAGGAGCATCTGTCTGTACTTCTTCTGAGACAGATTTGTTTGTTCTTCTGGCAGTCCATAGCACTTTTAATATTCTTCTTTAACACCATAATTCAAGTGTATCAATTCTTCTACGGTATTCCTTAATTATTGTCTAACATTCACATACATATGAGGCTATTAAAAATACCATGGCTTAGTTCAGCTGCAGCTCAGTCTTCAAACTGACATCTTTGCTCTGCAATACTTTGAAAAGTTCTTGTGCAGCCTATTTACCTAATGCAATATAGTGTGTGATTTCTTGACTGCTGTTTCTATGAGTGTTGATAAGGGATCCAAGCAAAATGAAGCTTCTGAAAACTTCAGTCTTTTCTCTATTTATCATAATGCTATTTACTGGTTTAATGTTGAGGGTTTTTGTTTTCTTTATATCAAAGTACAATGCTTACTGAAGGCTGTGGTCTTTGACCTTCATCAGTAGCCATTTTAAGTCCTCTTCACATTAAAGAAGCAAGGTTGTATCATCTGCATAATGCAGGTTATTAATGAGTCTTCCGCCAATTCTCGTACCATATTCTTCTTCATATAATCCAGCTTCTCAGATATTTTTTTTGTTCAGCATACAGATTGAATAAATATGATGAAACAATACAATCCTGAAACATGCGTTTCCTGATTTTAAAACATTCAGTGTCCCCTTCGTCTGTTTGGACAAATGCTTCTTAGTCTATGTACAGGTTCTTCATGAGCACAATTAAGTGTTTGGAATATCCATTCTCCACAAAATGTTGTCCATAGCTTGTCATAATTCACACAGTTGAAAGCCTTTTCATAGTCAATAAAGCACAGGTAAACATCTTTCTGGTAATCTCTGATTTCAGCCAAGGTCCAACTTTCATCAGCAATGATATCCCTCATTCCATGTCCTCTTCTGAATTTGGCTTCAATCCCTAGCAGTTACCTGACAATCTATTGTTACAGCCATGTTTGAATTGTCTTCAGTAAACTTTTACTTGCATTCAATATTAATGGTATTTTCTGATGATTTTGGCATTCCATTGGGTCACCTTTCTTTGGAATGGATACCAATATGATTCCCTTTATGTGTACATAAAGGGAATCCCTACAATCAGTTGGCTATGTAGATGTCTTCCAAATTTCTTGGCACTGATGAGTGCGTACATCCAGTGCTGCAAACTGAAAGATTTCAGTTTGTATTTTAATCATTTCCTGGATCCTTGTTCTTTACGAATACCTTGGACTTCTTCCTTTAGGATCATAGGTGGGTGATCTCTTGAAATGGTTGACCATAGACCATTTCTTTTTGGTAGAATGACTCTGTGTATTCTACCCATCTTCTGTTGATGCTTTCAGCATCAGTCAATATTTTGCCCATAGAATGCTTCAACATTGCAACCTGAGACTTGAATTTGAGAAATGTTGAGCATGCTCTTCCCTTTTGGTTTTCTAACTCTAGATCTTTGCATACTTCATTATAATATTCCACTTTGTCTTCTCAAGCTACCCTTTGAAATTTTCTGTTGGGTTCTTGTATCTCATTTCTTTCATTTACTTTAGCATCTCTATGCTGCAAATCATTTTTCAGAGTTCCCTCTGACA